TGTTTCTAGAACTAAAAAAACTAAGAACGTAAAGAACCTAATAAAAGCTGAACCGAAAATCACAACCCAGTCCTATTATATTCAATATGATAGTTCACATACAACGTGGATCACAATATCTTAAACACAGTAATAATCGATGAGTTCTGAATTTATTACATTTTCTCAAATTAAGTTAAACCCGCGTCGGTGCGCGGGTTAAGATCTAGTTTAAGTGAAAAGAAGAAGAAAGAAAGTACAACGTTAAATAAATGATACATATATAGTATTTCTCCAAACAGCAACATCAAAAAAAAAAAAAAAAAAATACAAATGAATACAATCACAAATCAAAATCTTCATTATCATCGATCTCATGGTCCAATAAAATCCAAGAGCCATCCTCTTGTTGGACCATGCCTTTGTTTTTTAGAACCCTCCAATTTCCTGGGACCATACATTCGTCCGTTAGCCCATCGACTGATTTGTTGACCAGTGCAATGTCTCTTTTCACATCAAGTTTGAACAAGTCATCTTTGCTCGTCCCTTGAGTCCCCGCAACTCCATGCAAGTAAGCTTCTAAGCAGTGAAATGTCGCAAAGTTTCCTGGAGATTTCATGTATTGTGATTTTCTGGTGTCTATTGGAAGCTCGTCTCCAACTTCGGCGTAACCTAATGGTGGATAGATTGGAACTACGTCCGGCAGATTCTTTACCCGTAATACTCGGAGATCTTCCAATCTGTTTTTGATTGCATTATAAATCATTTTGCATTTAAACAATATGTACGAGCATGTAAGAAGACATTAACATATATACTGTACTTTATTATTAGGACGTTTAATGGTATTAATCACGTTATGTGGACACTATAATATTCAAGTTGATTCATAATGATTTGCAGGACAATGAGATCATCGAGGGTAGCAGGTGGTCCACGATGTTTGCTGTGGCGGTATGGTGGGCGTGGACAGGGCCGGCCCTTAGATTTTGGGGGCCTGTGACGGTTTCTATGTAAAAAAATTTTTTGGGGGCCTAAAAAGTTTTTTTGGGGGCCTATACTTATGTAATTTTCTTCAAAATTTTCGGGGGTCTGAAACAAATGTTTCATTAGGCATTCCCCAGGACCGGCCCTAGGCGTGGAAGTGGAGATGGGGCAATGTGTTTGGAGAGAATAAACTTTGGAGAGATAGAGTGATGTTTCTACGTAATCTGGCCAAAGAGGTTATGGCTGCAAATGATGTTGCGTCGAACAGTATACAAGCTGGTCAGAGAACAGAGATCCTGGTGAAATGGATTCCTCCTACAGTGGGGTGGGTAAAACTGAACACGGATGGAGCATCCCATGGGAACCCGGGTCCGGCAGCTGCGGGAGGAGTATTACGAAATGGAGATGGTGAGTGGTGTGTGGGATTTGCGGTAAACATCGGGAGATGTAGTGCTCCATTGGCTGAATTATAGGGAGTTTATTATGGTCTTGTGGTAGCATGGAATAGAGGGATCCAAAGATTGGAGGTTGAAGTTGATTCGAAGGTGGTGATGGGATTTTTTACGACTGGGATTGAGGATACTCACCCCCTGTCGTTCCTGGTACGTCTGTGCCATGGCTTTTTAACGAGGGACTGGATAGTCCGTTTTGTGCACGCTTACAGGGAAGCTAACCGTTTAGCTGACGGCGTCGCTAACCTTGCTTTTTCTCTTCCTTTTGGCTTTCATATTTTTGATGTTGCTCCTATTGAAGTTGTGAATTTGTTGTCTGAGGATGTCATTGGACCTCCCCGGCCACGGCAAGTTCGTTTGTAGTTTTGAGTTTTCATTCTATTAATAAAAACTTGGGAGTCTTCCTCCCAATCGTTTACCAAAAAAAAAAGTTGATTCATAATGATGTATTATCAGATTTGTGAATATTATTTAAGGTATTACTAAAACTTAATCTGTGCGGTTGGGCGAATGTTTGTTTTCACTTTTATATTATAAGTATTTGTTTTATATCATTGATAGTATATATTTTATTTATATATTTATATGACTATTTAAACGACAATAATTTTATTGTTTACATAATAATATAATTAATTGTTTCAAATCGTCATATATATATATATATATATATATATATATATATATTTTTTTTTTTGTTATGGTTATAAGGTAATTAAAAATTGGTTGTGTACTTACGGTTTCGTATGCTAAAACCAATACTAGAGTATCTCCGGCATAATTGGTATCTTTTTGCCATAAGTGAAGACACTTAAGCTGAATCCAACATCCATTTTAAACGGTTTTACATTTTTCAATAAGCTAACACTTTTATTTGAAGATGTTTTTGAGTGACATTTTGAGTTAAGCGTGAATGTAAAACTGATGGATGTGCGGTTTATAGATTCCGATGGTCATTACAATTTCTAAGGTGAATTATTATGAATTTAGATTAGATATTAAAGATATTTGTTTGTTTAGATATTTAGTATTTGTTCAGATATTTTCAACAACGCTGATTTTAATATGGATTTAGATTACATATTCAAGATTTGGATTAACTTTGATAGTTATTTTTGGTTGATCATTTTAAAAGTATTAAAGTTATCGTTCCCTATATTCTTTGTAAATAAAATAATATACCAGTTTAATCTTGATTTGCAAAAAAAAAATGATTTGAATATATAATTCAAAATTTTAATTTGGTGAAGTTTATTATATTGATATGTTTGGGTATAATATAAATATATATATATAATAAATTGAATATGTGAAGTTTGGTACATGTAGAATATATTAGTTTTAGAGAAAGAGGTCAAAAGTAAAAGCCTTTGATAGATGGGGAAGAACTGTTTGACAGCAACAATGACACTTTTATGAAAGACTAATATTTTGTTTTGATCTGGAAGTTCTGGAGATAAAACCTATAATCTCTTAGATTCGGGATCTGGCGGGCACTATAGGAACAAGGCCCATAACATAAAATATCCCTTCTACAGTGGATTGAATTCAGAAGCGCAACACGCATGCATTTAAACCAACTGAATTATCAGATCCGTGATATGAAAGACCCGTGGTATGGAAGACTAATATTGCGTGATACATATACCAAAAATTGGATAATTGTTTATTCATCTAATCTGTTTAGTTTGATTTTATATTAATTCTCATTTCTGAACATAACATATATACAATATGGTACAAATATATTGAGTAGGTAAGATGATTTGCCATTTTCATATGTATAAGTAGAAATAAATAGGTTGTATATACATTTGGGTATATAATGTAAAACTGTTTTGTGTACAAATAAGAATATAGTGTGTTTATTAGCTCTTGGCTTCATCTTAACATGGAATATTCGTTTTATATTAACCTTAGTATCCATTCTAGTGCGTGTGAAAGCATAACATTCTAATCATAGATTGTCTCCATTTCAATTTACTTGTCGTTGTAGAGTAGAATTTTCATTTTAAAATAAGTGTGTTTTATAATTTAAATACAAAATTTATTAATTTTATAAGTTATTCTATTTTATTATTGGTTGAAACTGGTTATGTATATAGGTAATTGTGTTTTTATTTTAAAATATGTAAAATTAAATGTTTTTTAATTTATGTGTAAAAATTTAAAATGACAGCTAAAGCAAAATAAGTATTAGAAATGATGGTAAGAATAAACTAAGCCTGATTTTGTTAAGTTTATTTACTGTTATAACCGAACCGGTTAAAAAGTCCAAGATAGTCGTATGTGATTCATTAATGATGTTATATGTTTGTTAACCGAGCCGTTTTTATGGGTGTAGGTAGTAACGAACATATGAGGTGATTTGGTAACTCATAAACTATTATTAAAAAAATAAATGAAACATAATATTTTAGGGAAGATCCATTTCAAAAAAAAAAAATCAAGAAGGTATGACTTCTATTTTTATATATAATAGATTAATAGTATTATCTTTATTTTTTCATGATAGTTTTTCTCCGGATCGTAATATATTAATTCATGTTATATTTTTATTTTATGAAAGATTCATGTTTTTGTTTATTAATGTTTTCGCACAAACTCCCGAACGTGAATGGATGATTCCATGTGAATTCGAATATGTAGAAGCCGGAAAATCGGATCGACATAAACGATATAAGAAAGATGGAGTTAAGGAAATAGACGATTATATAAGACATGGAAGCGAGATAAATCTCTTTCCTTAACTCTTAATATTCGCTCCGTAGTGAGACGAAACTGTACGAATAACGAGTTCCAGGATACAACCATGGCAGACAAATCACGCTTCACTCGTGAAACGACCTATCGAACTAAAATTCTACGAACACTCTCTAAACTTACTCTGGGAGATTTGCTGGTTTTTTCTTGCGTGAAAAAGTTAAGAATGAAGAAAGAGGTGAGACGATATTTAAAGAGAAGACGAGGAGCAACTTCCCGTAACGTGTACTCGTTAGTGGGGATTTGGCAAAGATCTCGGGCAGTTTAAGTTAGGAAACTTCTCCCCCAAGACTCGCTCTCTCGTTTTTATTAAAATATCTGGTGAGTAATAAACAACATGACGTTTTTTTTTATTTGTTAGACAAACTACTTGTCGTTTTTAAATAAAATTGCATGCTGTTTTTTGAAGTTTAAATGGAAAAGCGTTGAGCTTAATTTGGTCCAAAAAGATAATTTCTTATCGGGGCAAAGGCCCTCCAATAAATCCCAAGCCCAAGCCCAAGCCCAAGCCCAAGCCCAAGCCCAAGTCCACGCCGAGCCGGCCAGACGGCGGCGGCGGCGCGCGCGTGAGGAGCCATCCCTTACCCTGAGGCGTTTACACACTCCTAACTCTTGAGCATATATATACTGCTCCATTTCTTCCTCTTTGGCCGATGTGGGACAAACCAAAAATCTGGGATTATTGGTTCTCGTCCACACCAAGATACCAACTTCAAAGCTTCATTTCGTATTCAATTTTGATCTGTTTTTAAAGTGTGAATATACGACGTTGTAGTACTCGTTACAAGCTTTACAACGAGCTGATGATCTGACCGGAACGACCACCGGTTTGGCCGAAAAAGTCTCCAGAAAATTAAAAAAAAGATCAGCTTCTCCAAAACAGAGATCCAACAATCTCCCACATTAATAGAAATGACTCTAAAAATATGCAGATTAAATGCAGACTCGATAGACTCTAATAAAAAAATCTTATTTTATCATGACTAGACTAGACTAGACTAGACAGACTTATCGAGAGTGTTTGCGAAAATTAAACTGTGTTTGAGTTGGTGGCATTTTTAAGCCTTGAACTACTCATAGTTAATATCTGTCGGGTTTACTTTACCAGAAGGTGAACATGATGTCCTGAACCAACAGGTGTTTTATGTAAACCGAGACAACAGGCATAACGCAGTTTCATTTTCTCGTAGAACTTAGTTCTCTATTGTGTTCATTGTGGCCCTGAACTATTCCTGGTTTTCATGAGTGAACTTAGAGAATATAGCCTTGTATTCATTCTCCTAGAAACGGCCCCATTCACACTCACTAGGTGATTGACCATGAAAAGTATTGAGTAATACTTCGCTTTATAAGCTATGGAATCATTAAAAGCTAATGCTTATCCTTACATTTCATAGTATTTTTATCATCTTAGGAGCTGGGAAGAGACTACTTTGTCTCAAGTGCTTTGGTTAGATTCTGTTTGATTCTGGGAAGAGACTACTTTCCCTTTGAACCTATGTCTTGGGATCTCCAGTCATGATAGGTAGGGTTGCAAT